CCTAAGCGCTTGGTGAGGGTTTTTAAGGCAGAAAAAGGAGGTCTTGCTTATGCAAAGCTAGGTGTTAAAAAGGGACCAATCAGGGCCCAGGCTCGATATGCAGATTAGGGATTCAGAATCAGCCAATCAGAGCCTGGGGGCCTTTATGTAAATGAAGGATTCAGATTTAACCAATCAGGGCTGGGGAAGCCTGTACGGGCTTCCAGAGAGGAGGGTTTTGGGGGTAGGGGTGGAGATTCCTTTGGGGTGCTTTCCGCTTGGGCTTTTTGTGTGGGGGAGAAGCAACATGACGGTTGTCCTTTTTGTCCTTCAGGAGGTACATATAGGCTTCTTTAAGAAGCTCTTGTTGCTATCTAACCAGGTTCATTTGCCCGCTGCCCAAGAAGCAGTGAATTTTCCGAGTCAGCAGGTTTTAAGGCGGAGAAAGTGTCTATTCCTAATAGTGCTAAGCGGGGAGGCGGTCCTCTCTTCTCCGGTAGCACTATGCAAAATAAAAACTCTTTCTCCATTGCAATCCGACTGTCTCAGGACACTGGCTGTTCTCTGTGCAGCAGGCAAATAAACCTGGTTGTGTGGCATCACCCTCAGAAGGGATATTACGTGAGCAACAATTTTCACATTTGGAATAATGCAACTGGGAAAATGGTGCAAAACTTGACTTTGATCCCAAAACCATAAATAACACAATTTGTAACGCGAATGCCCAATGAACTTACCTAAATTCATTAGCAAGACCTATGGACAATGTGCATTATTTTTGTTTTCCTCTTAATTAACAAAAAGAAGATTTATACTCCAGCAAATACTTCTTGTTACAACTACCTACTGTAAGACAGCATGAACAAGTGAAAAAAAAAAAATAGATTCCTGACTTTCTAAAACAAACATAGGTGGATTTATTGCCTGAGCTTTATAATCTAGAGCTCTGGCTTCATAACTTGTGTCAAAGACTAATAATCATTTTGTGTCTGATAATTGCTTATGTTGCAGTTGACAAATGTATGCTTTTCTGAGTTTCAGAGACTACCACATAGCAACGGTCACATCAGCGTGTTCAAAAACTCATTTTGGAACAAAAAGAGCAGGTAACTAATCCTAGTCCAACCACAGACTATGTTATGTTCTCTTAAAAAAAAAAAAAAGGAAAAAAAAATCTTACCAGCAAAATCTCAGTGATGGTAAAAATATGGATCTTATGGGTTAATGTCCTGTGGCTTCACTCTGTCTGCCCTTGACCCACAGGGGAAACTGAGAAAGAGAAAAGCAGCCCCTGACATCTGGGACTGGCCTGGTCCTATAAGCTAGACTTGTACAATCAGCTGACCTGACACTTGAAGTTAGACTTTATGTTTTTCTTTTCTTTTGATCATAAACAATTTTATAGAACATCAACATCAGACAAGGCTACCCCGTGACCTGGATAAATCAAGACAAAAGCAAGACCACTTGTAACCATGACTTGAACACAGACAAAACATAAACACTCCCCAGCCACATAATACCAAACATCTTCTTATCCTGGCAAACATAGAGCCTGCTGCTTTTTTCCACTTACAGCTTTACCCTCAGTCTAGTTTTCCCTCCTTCCAGATAAGATTTATTAAGATAAACAACCATAGAACAACTGCCTCTGTTTCCTGCAAACATCAAATCTAGGACAAGGCCTTATTTTCTGAAACCCTCCCTCAAATCATCTAGCATGAACCTCAATTCTTTAGTAGCTAGTTTTAGGGATAAAAATTAAAAAAATAATAAATATGTAACCATAAAGAGTTAAAAATTTTTAATATGTCTAGTTAGGTGCCTCCTTAGTAAGAAAAGCTAGAGCAGTCACCTCATGTTCAATAGAAGAAAGCGAAAATGATATTATTATATTTTTAAATGAAAATAGGCATAATTAAGTTCTAAGATCCTTTACCATTGTGTTGATTGAATAAATTAAATGTAGGAGAAAGACAAAAGTGGTACATGACGTGGGTATGGACTCAAGAGTTTAGTAGTAATTTTCAATATGAATAGACTTTCTATCACCTAATCTTCCACTGCTTTATGATACTTTATATTGGTGTGTTATAGTGTTATTTATTTTTTCATGTGTTGATTTCTTCTTACTAACCACATGTAAGTTAGGGAAGTCCAGTAACTCATCATATTTTTTATCCTGTTTTATACCTAGGATAGGAATTTTCTCATTGATTCATTTTAATACCATTTACTGTTTGATTTTAGTGTCTTTTAGAATTATGTTAAATTTTGCCAAATCGGTAATTTTTTGGATGTATAATACACACATATAGTACCAAATGATCAAATTGAAAAAGAGAAATAAGATTGTTCATGTTAATTATCTAAAATGTATAAAATAATAGGAAAATTTCCTTTTAGTTGGACCAACTGAAGGCCATTGTATCACTAAGAATATACATTTTGAAAAACAATTTGTATACAAATTGAAAACCAAGAAGATGTATATGTGTGTGTCTGTGTGTGTGTGTATATATATATATATATATATATATATATATATATATATATACACAGAAGTCCAGGATCTCCTGAGAGACAAGTAGATGACCTCTTTCCTTTATTATTTTTAAGATTTAATGATAGATTAGTTTATTTGGCCTTGACTCTTTCCTGGCTTACAAGCTACTTCCTCTTCCACACACATGCTGTTTTAATTAATCTCCACCAGTTGCAACGGCTTGATTTTTCTGGAGAAAGAAACGAACTGTTTTGCTCTGTAAATGCTTTCTATGGGCGCTCAGACACATGAGGAGGCGAAGGAACAAATGAAAGATCTTTCCTAATACTGGTAGTTTACCAAGCGCAAACAGAAGATGAAAGTGTCTTTGTTTGGGTTTCTATCTTTTCAGTCAGAGGAAATGCCCAACCATGACTGTTCATTGTTTACAAAAGTCTCAAGGATTTTAGTTTTCTCAGAGCTGGTTGTTTTCTTGAAAGGGAAATGTGAGAAAAGAGGAATGTAATTAAGAAACAGAAATTCTGTCTTTGGGCTACATTGTTGGGTTAAATCTACAAATCTTCACTGCAGTTCCATTGTTCTCTACCCTGCTTCTGGCAAAAATTTGAGCAATATTTGCCTAATCAATTTTTGTCTTGACCACAGCCTACTCTGCATATTTTCACTAGATTTTCCTCCAAAACTGAAAAATATATTTAACTGTTTAATGTAGTTTTATAAGTTAAACATATAGACATATATGTTTAATTTCCTCACTTTAAACTCTTTGAAAGAAACACCCAAAATAATTCTGGTTTTGTGTCTATGCCCTGTCTAAACACAGAAATACTGAGTACTGGATTCTTTCTGGTTCAACAAATATTTATCAAGAATATGTTTTAAATGCAAAAGTAATGGCAATCTTCTATGCCATATTAGGGCATTGGGGTTTTATTTTGTAGGTGAATGGAGACTTATTGCAGGTATTTAGGCAAAGGAGTGAAATAATGGAACCTGTACTAACATTCTGCTAATGTATTATAGATAATGTTTTGGAGAGGATTGGGCTGGAGTTCAGTTCAAAAGTACGATAGGTGATATAATCAAGTGTCTAAAGTGAGAAAATATTTGAGAAATATTTGTAAAAATACAGGGCTTGGTGATTATTGATTTGAGGACACAAGAGAGGACCCAGTTGGGGATGATTTTTAGCTATTTTGCTCAGATGAAGTGATGGGATGTGTTGTCCCCACGTGAAGCAGAGAAAATAAGAGGAAGAGCAGGTTAAGATGAGAAAACAATGACTTCAGCTTTAAATACATTAATTGTGAGCTACTTCAAAGTGTTTGAACCCTGGTAGAAATATACAACTATTAGGTTATAGAGAGAAATATGGGCTGGAAAGTAGATGTGGAATTCTTTAGTATTTAGGTTAAAATGTAAAGTTTTGTAGTCACAATAAAAATGGGTTTTTATGTACTTTGTCCTCTTTTTCTCTGTGTTTTATGTTTTCTCCAAGAAGACTTCAGACCAGCATTTTCCCCCTCGTACAGATAAGTGGGGAACTTGTAATGATATTGAGAGGTCTTTGTTTCTAAATGTTGATGTTTTTCTTAACTCCCAAATGAAGCAGCTCCTTCTCAGCTTCAAACACATCTTCTTGTTTGATGAGGACCTTTTGTTTTCCTTTAATTTCTCAGTTCCAAGGAAACAAACTACTTTGACTTTGCCAAAATGTTCATTAGACAAAACATAAAGTCAACATCACATACCCAAGGTCAATATTAGAAGGGTAAGGGTGACATTATAAACCAACTTTATTTTATTTTGTTAATTGATAACTCTAGCATTATGTTACTTTGTGGGTTTTATTTCCAAATAACCCCTGTAAAATTTTATGTTTTCTAGGATTTTGAAACCCACTAGAATGAATACTGATATAATACTAAAAAATCAGGACTTTCAATGCATTTTAATATGAATTTTTAAATGCAGAACAAAGAGTAAGGTATAATACTCATAAGGAAAATTTGTTAAAAGTTCAGAGTCCCCTTCTGATATTAAAAGAATGAACGTTCATTTAATAAACTTGTAAATATGTATATATTAAGTTGAAAACTCAAAAAGGAAAATGTAGATTATTGGATTTCTTTATTTATTTAAAACATTAAAAATACTTTTAAATAATTTTTGTTAGTAGTAATGGTCATTGAAAGTATAATTTATGTAAAATTTTTGCTCTCATAAATATTTGTGTGTTTCTTAATGACTCAGAAAATAGCACTGTATTTAAAGAGATATAAATCTGTTTCATTTTACTGCATAAGATGGGGAAAAATTGTTAGGAAACATCTGGTCTCTCTAAAGAAGCAGAAATCCCACAGAAAATCTCAGTTGACCTATTTCATAACTATTTTTTTTTTTTTAACAGATAAGGCCTTGCTCCATCTCCCAGGCTGGAGTCATAGCTCACTAAGGACTCAAACTCCTGGGCTCAAGCGATCCTCCAACTAAGCCTTCTGATCATAAGTATTTATTTTAAAAAATTGGAACTACCATAATTATTGCAAAATTAGGCAGTTTTCATTTTTTGAGAATGCCTGAATATGTTCATTGTTCACTGATAACCAAACTAAGGTGGCAGTCTTCCAAAAGATGACAGGATAGTGCAGCTTTTTATTCCAACATGAGGTGGAACCAAGAATTTAAGATTCACAGAAACATTTGAGGAAAGCACTAGTCCTTTGGTATCTCTAGAACACTCAATCTTTTTATTACCTTGGATTATGAATCAGCATTTGAATTCATGTCTTTTCTCTGATCTTTGCTGCCCCCTGGTGACTCACACTGCACTTTTTCTCCAGTTTAAATCTACTTAGTCTATACCTAATTAATGTTGTAATTATTGTGTAAAGTAAATATTTATGGGAAGCCAATATTTAAAGATTTCCAATGTGTAGGTAAAACATTAACCTTGACTTAATGTTAGCCCACTGATCCCAAGAAATAAATTCAGAAAGGGTCTTACCATTTGTAAATGAAAACTGAATTTGTATTTTTGTGTGTTTACTGATTTGTTTTTACTGTATGGATGAATAATTATGCATGAAAAACAAATTAAAGGAAGTGGCATGTACATGCATGATAGGGCTTGGTGAAATATTGTCAAGTATTATTTTCATTGAACCTCGTGTGGATCACAGCTGGGGCTTACAGATTTAGAGTGCTTGGCTGAATAGTCACCTGGCTATGATGAAAAATTCATGGTTTCAGGCAAGATTTCAATTACTGCCATTATTCTAAAGGTGAAAAAATAAAAACACCGTTACTTACATGAATGCCCTGAATGGTAAAATCTTTAATATGATACCTATTGTGATTTTAGGAAAAGGAGGGGAAAGGCTTATCTTTGATGTAACTCCTTAGAATTCCTCATTTTAATTTGGCTTACTATCAAAATTTTCCTAATTGTTTCAGTTCAAACATCATTCTTGAATTATTAATAGCACCAAACTCTTCATACTATCCTAAAGGCAAACAATTGAGTAGCTGAAACTGTCCTTATGTATTTTTTTGTTTGTTTTTTGAAAACTCATACCTCCACTATTCTAGTTTTCCCCAAAGGTGAGCATTTCCTAAAGTTTAATGCTGTCTTTCAATTTCTATTTCTATGTTCTTTGCTTTGGAGATCTTACTCTTTGAAGCCTTAAGAATTTCTCCATGTAGACACCTCTATAATCTGCCTCTTCAACACTGACTGCTTTTCTCAACTTCTATTTTGTATTCCAGTGGCCTCCATCATATGAGTCACTTGGTCGTTCCACTGTTTTTTTTTAACAAGTATAAAGGTAAGTTCCTCTCAAACAAGATGGAAGGATGGTAGAGATCACTGAGTTCAACATCCTCTCTTTTTTCTTTTATTTTTTCTTTTTCTTTTTTTTTTATTTCGGCATATTATGGGGGTACAGATTTTAAGGTTTCAATAAATGTCCTTTCCCCCCCTCCCCCCACAAGTCTGAGTTTCCAGCATGACCATCCCCGTGGTGCCATCTCACTCATGTATGTATGTTATACCGCCCCCTCCCGCTTCACCTGCCCAATACCCTATGTATGTAGTAACTATGTGTCCTTGGCTGCTCAGTTACAACAGTTTGCTGTGAATTATGTGGCTTGTTTTTCCATTCTTGGGATACTTCACTTAGAGTATGGTTCCAGCTCTAGCAGGAAAATATAAGATGTGTAAATCACCTGTCTAAGTGGATAGTACTCCGATTATAATATACCACTTTATTTAATCCATTCTGGTTAGATGGACTTGCTGTTCACAGCCTTCAGATTATTAAATTATGTTGTATAACATCGAGTGCAGGTTCTTTTTTGTTAGATTCATTGGACTTTTGGGTAGATGCCCAGTTATGGGATGGGATCAAATGGTAGATCCACTGTATCACTTTAAGGTATCTCCCCCCCCCCCCCCCGCCCCCCCCCCCCCCCCACCCCCCCTTATTGCTTCCACGAGGTGAACTAGTTGCAGTCCCACAAGCAGGTTAGAGTGTTCCTCTCTTCGTCCGCATCACGGCCAGCATTTATTGTTTGGAGACTTTTTGATAAAGGCCATTCTCACTGGAATTAAGTGATATCTCATTGTAGTTTTGATTTGCATTTCCCTGATGATTAGAGATGATGAGCATTTTTTCATATGTTTGTTGGCCATTCTTCTTTCTTCTTTAGAAAAGTTTCTGTTCAAGTCCTTTGTCCACTTTTTAATAGGGTTATTTGATTTTTTTCTTGGTGATTTTCGTGAGTTCTAAGTATATTCTAATTATTAGCCCTTTATCGGATACGTAGGATGCATCAACATCCTCTCTTTTAAGATGAAGAAACCGTAACTTTAGAAAAAAATTTATTTGACCAAGCTCACAAATTAATTGTTAGTGGGATGAGGATTAGAAATAATGTTGTCTGACTGCCAACCAGTCCAGCATGCATCCTACCACACCAAACTCCTTATTTCCCTACTAATTTCTGATTTCTCTCCCATAGGGTTGTTTTCAAAATTCTCTTTAGTAATCCAGGCATAAAACCATGGAGTAATTTTTAAAATTTCTCCTTCTTTGCTTCAAAATCTCATCATTCTGGTCTTTTGTATAGATTCTTTGCAATAACTTCTGTGCTTTTCACTTTCTTTAAAAAAATGATCAAAACAATTCATGCCCATGGTTCAAAACATCAAGGAGCTCTACAAGGCTTATAACAAAATATAGTAGATCATGTCTACATTTCTTTCCAATCTCTGAATCTATTCCAAGAGACAGAGATGCCTCTGGATCTTTTACCTGTTTCTTCTGAGCTTCCCATTCATGTCTCTAAAAAGCAAGTCTATATTTTATTTTGTGATTTTTCATTTTTTAGGTTTCTTCCTTGGAAAATAAGGATGTATTTATCTAAAAATGTTAACCTTCTCTCCCTCTTATCCTTTCCCAATCATCTTAACGTAATTATTTCAGTTTTTGCTTAAACATTCAGTATTCTCATTATTGTATTTATATAAATATTATCCACACCTGAGTCATATTGTGTGCTATCTTATTCTTTCTTATGCACCGTTTTTTGTGTCCTCCAGAATTAGCAGTTGCTTTATTTTTGTTTGTTGAGTGTTCTATGTATCTATTACCATTTCATCTACAAACACTTGGAAAGAAGAGTAGCTCCTTCCTCAATGCACTGGACATATCGATAATTTATTGATTTTCTTTTATTTTTAGAGACTTCCTTCCTGGGCTCCTTCTATATAACTCTGATCTAGACAGACCAGTGTCTAGAACTGTGGGAGTTTCATATGCTCCTTTTTTCTTTTAGACCTACTATCTTAGTTCCAAGTTCCCTGCTTCTTGGTTATTCTTTCATTTTAATGAAGTTCATCTTGTCTTGTATTTTTTTGTTTGTTTGAGACAAAGTCTCACTCTGTTGTCCAGGCTAGAGTACCATGGCATCAGCCTAGCTCACAGCAACATCAAACTCCTGGGCTCAGGTGATCCTCCTGCCTCAGCCTTCTGAGTAGCTGGGACTACCGGCATTCACCACAATGCCCAACTAATTTTTTCTATATATTTGTAGTTGTCCAGCTAATTTCTTTCTATTTTTACTAGAGACTGGGTCTTGCTCTTGCTCAGGCTGGTCTTGAACTCCTGAACTCAAATGATCCTGCCGTGGCTTCCCAGAGTGTTAGGATTACAGTCATGAGCCACCGCACTTGGTCCCTGTCTTGTATTTTCTTGAGAAGTAATGTATGGGGGATAATTTTATTTTATTTCTTTAGAAAAAGTGAAAAGGTGAAAAGGTTTGATTCTATATTCTCATTTGATTTATAGTTTGGGTTCAGAATTCCATACTGAAAATAACTTTTCACAGAATATTGAAGGCATAATTCCATCTCCTTTCAGTTTCCAATATTGCTGTTGAAAGGCTTATACCATTTTGATTGTCTCCTTTTCTCTGTATCTCAATTCCCTGAAATTTTACAGTACTGTGCTTTGCTGTGAATTTTCTTTTCATTCATTGTGGTAGATACTAATCAGCCCTTTCAACCTATAAATTCAGACCTTTCATTCCTGAGTGTTTTCCTATTTCTTTCTTTATGATTTCCTTTCTTTCATTTTCTCCTTTATCTCTTTTTGGGACTCTGTTATTTGACTGTCTGAACTTCAGTAATAAACCTCTAACATTTTATCTATTTTCCATTTTGTCTTTTGATTCCACCTTCTGAAAGATTCTGCAGTCTTTATATTCCAACCTTCCTGTTTAATTTTGCCTCTGCTACCATATTTTTAATATCTAACAGCTTTTGTTTTTTGAAAGCCCCTCCCCCATTTTAACATGATACTTTCAATATTCTAATTTTATGTATATATTATGTACTTCTATTTCTTTAAGGCTATTAATTATAGAGGTTCTTTGAGTGCTTTCTCCTGTTTCTTACATTGCCTCAGTTCTTCTGTGTTGGTTTCTATATTTCTAGTTAGTGCTATGTCTTTCCTCATCCTTGGCTGCTATTTGATATTTAAGAGAGGGACCCTAGAAACAGACTAGAAGTTTTGTATGTAATTTCAGGGCTTGTTGACCAGTGGGCTTTTTGGCAGGGTAATTAGAAACCCAGTTGTTTGTCAAGAGTTTTCCTTGGGCCAGTGGGGTTCTTGAGGGAAGCCTGGCTGCTAATGTTATGAAAAAGTGGGGGATGTGGGTCTCAATGTTCGAAGTATAGACCCTTATGGAAGGGTCTTGACCATGTTTGATGTCTCTGAGTTACTAGTCTTTCAGGGGAATAGACCTCATTCTTCTCTTGGGTGGAGATAATTTAAGACTTCATGTATTCTTGTAAAGGACTTGAAGGAATGCAAAGGTCTAAATGCTTCTTATGTTGCAAACAATCTTCACATTGTCTGCCAATCCTACAACTCAGCCTTTAGAAGAACTTGCATTTCTTTCCTGGATTCCAGAGCATGTATTGACTTTTGTCTTGACTTGAACCTTGCAGACACTATCTTTCTTCTTCCTCTGGTCTTAATTTTCTGTTTAATACCTTCTAATTGTTTCTTTGCATCTTAATTTTTTGTTGTTGTTCTCATTTCTGGCTTTTCTTCTGTGATTTTATGCATATTTTAAATCCATTTACTGAATATTTATGGAATCGTGAGAAGAAGTGAATGTTAATCCTACATAAGTCACCAAAATTCAGTTCCTTCCTTTTTTATTCCATTGCCATTGCCTGAGATCATATTTTAATCATTTAATGCTGGGATAATTAAGTTGGTTCCTAACTAAATAGTTTCATTCACTTAAGTTCTTTTCTTCAACTAAAATGTCTTAACTGGCACCATAGAAACAACCCTAAAATATCACTCTAGTTAGATAACTCACCTGCTCAAAAACTTCAGATATTTTTAAATATCTAAAAAAATAAATTTCTAATCCATTCATAATCCAAATTTCCAGGCTTATCTCTTACCATGCTTCAATATGAACACTTTTTTCATACAAATGACTTTACTTATTATCTTCAGAAAATTTCTATCTTTCCATCACTCTTGGAATAACCCATTCTTCCCCTTCTTTAATCTTACTCATTCTTTTCAACTCCTCCAAGAAGTCTTTTTTGATCCCTTTAGTATAAAAATTATTTTTGCCATCTTTGCACTCTATTTCTTTCATTATAGCATCTGTAACACTTAGTTTTTATATTTTTATCTTTCTCTACTAGACTCTTAGTGCATTGAAGGTCAAGATCTTGACATATCTAGTGAATGTCCCTTTTCAATCAATATTGAGTACCTACTGTGCCAAGCCCTGTGCTAAAAGTTCTGCAGGCTTTCCTTAGGTAAAGACAAAGGCATGTAGGCAGTAGTTTTCAGAAAGAGTAAAAGCTGAGAATGAGATCCCAGTGGTTAGGTGGCGTTCAGAAAGACGACTCCAGTTTCTGAGAGGATGGATAAAAGCAAGACTCATCTTAAGCCTTACAGGAAACAAAAGTAAGATGAGGACCCAGTTCTGTGGTAGGTATGCAGAATATATGATGAATAGGGAAATTGTCTCCTTGTTGGTCATTGGACCAGGGATCAGAGCAGGGCTAATAGTAAGGATGAGTTACTTAATAAAATCTTGTCTATATCTCTTTATCTCAGGCAGTATTGGTCCCCAAGTTTAAAGAGCTGTTAAGCTTGCATGCCAAGTGGTTTAGCATTTGCAGAAAAGAGCCTCCGTAAGTTAATAAAATACTTGGAGTTGTGAAGGACTAGATTTCTTTAAATTTCCCAGAGAGCTTTTTGACTCCAGGATGTATTATTATAAATGT